CTCTGCTCCTGCTCTTCCCTTTTGATGGTCCTAGGGTCCTCTGTTCCTTGAATGAAAGATTAACTACTCCCCCCTTTTTGTTTTACGTCTTCTACCTTTACAGTTGTGACAATTGCAATTAGTCATGATAACAATTACTCACTGTCGAATCAAAAGAATCCTATCCCTGTCCTCCCCCATTCCCTTTCACCAGACCCATCTGGACAAGAGGAAAACTATTCAGTGGGGATTCTACCTTATCCCGTCCCTCGTTCTGAAATTTGAGTTGGTTATGTTTTTCTGTGTATATTCTCAACCAAAATGAGTGAATTAAAAAAAATTAATTGAAGCTCTATAGAACACAGTTTACTCAGATACAAATGGGGGGCATCATGAGTCAGAATCAATTTAACGGGAACTCATTTTTATAAACTGTTTCTCTAATTGCCCCTCTTCTTTGGTCTTGCCTTCTCCCTAACTTCATCCTTACACAGATGTTATATCATTCCTCTGCTTAAAACCCTTCAAGGTCTCCCTGTTTCCTGCAGAAGAACTTTGAATGCTTGAAAATGGATGAGACCTTCTGTGACCAGGCCCTGGCTCCCTCTCCACCCTCATTCCACTGCCACACACCTACACATAGACACACATACACACAACGGCCTCGTGGCTGCCTCCATGCCTTTACTCTTGTAGCTTCTTTTTATCTAACTGTGTGTGTGTGTGTGTGTGTGTGTGTGTGTGTGAGCCTTTCCATTATCTTTAGTCTAGATTAAGAATCACTCCCCAGTGCTCCATTTGCTAATAAAATATTTTATAGAAATGCACTCCTTAGTTTCCCCTGTCTGTAGGGAGTCCTGGTGTGGCGCCGTGGGTTAATGCACGACTGCAAGGTTGATGGTTCAAGCTCACCAGTCAGTCCTCGGAAATCCTACACAGGGTTGGAACCGACTCAACTCTGCTTAACAAAAACAACATCCCTGTTTGTATGCCCAGCAAAGCTTACTGAACTGACCACTGTCAGATGGCCACCCATATCTTACTTTCCCAACCACATTGCCACCACGATGGGCTTCCACATCCTCACTTCTGTGACATTTCCCTAGCAACTGTCCTCTCAGAATCTTGGGCATCCTGGATCTTTTGTCCAACAAAACTTACGTGGCATCATCCTTACCCACCCTCCCACCACCGCCGCACAGTGCAGTTCCGGAGGCTACTGAACTTTTCCCCCATGGGATCAATTTTTCAAGCAGCACCAAGTGCTTCCAGTTGAGGCAGTGTGGTGATGTATGCCCCCTGGAAGGAAAGGACAATCACTGAGTCCTCAGAGCAATTGTCATCTTAATCATGTGTGTGCAGGCATGTGCTAGCTATTGTTGTTGAGTCAATTCCAACTCATGGGAACCCCATGTGTTCAAGTAGAACTATGCTTCATAGACTTTCTTGACTGTAATCTTTATGACAGCAGATTGGTAGACCTTTCTTGAGTGGCACCGCTGGGTGAGCCTTTAGGTTAGCTGTTGTTAGGTGCCATTGAGTCGGTACCAACTCATAGCGACCTTATGCGCAGCAAAACGAAACACTACCTAATCCTGGCCCAACCTCACTACTGTTGCTACGCTTGAGTTCATCGATGCTGCCACTTGGCCAATCCATCTCGTTGGGGCTCTTCCTCTTTTTCTCTGTCCCTCCACCTTACCAAACAGGATATCCTTCTCCAGTGATTGGTTAGGTTAGTGGTGTACTGCAAATGGTTGTGTCTCCCAGGGGCATGCGTGTGCAGGCTTTGCTAAGGGTTTTCTGTCCAGACTGGTAGGCTGCCATCATCGAATTATCACAAGCAGCTCTTACGATGGAAGATGTACTGGATTCACACATCCTAACACTAGAGGTTCTCTCAAGGTTTGTCCTTGCCTTTCTGTATTACTTCCTCTTTCTCCATATGGCAGTTATTGTTAAGTGCTGTCAAATCAGTTCTGGCTCATAGCCACACTGTATAGGGATTACGAGGAGCAGCTGGTGAGTTTGAACCGCTGACCTTGTGGTTCCAACTGAACTTGTGGTCTAGTGCTTGCCCTACAGCGCCACACCAGGACTCCCCATATGGGAATGGCACTTATAAAATATTGATCCTGGCCCTGATGGTTAGGATCTGTCTGTTGTGAATGATAAGGTGAGCCTCAGACTTGCACTGCGGTGCGCTCCAGGATTTACCAGAAGATGTCACTGTAGGCTTAAACCAGGAGAACACGTTAGGTGAGGTCTGTCAGTTAAGCATGAAGGTGACTTCATTATGGGGATTGAAAACACCCAGTAACCCCCATTACAATGCATGCCTGGAAAACCTGGTTGAAAGGTTAACCCAAATGTGTCACTTGACTTAATAAATTTCTTTTTTTCCCAAACAATCCAACTAATTGCCTCTAAAGTATCACCTCAGGGCTAGCATAAAGGTTCAATAAATATCTAATGAATGAATCAATGAATGAATGCCAAGTGGCAGGCAGGAACCCCATTGGTCTAATAGTCATCTTTGTTGATGGCTGTCAGGGTTAGTTGCAACTTTGGGGCCCCGGCTTTTCACAGAGATGACTCTTAGTGACGTTACCAAACTTAGGACTTATGGGAAGGAATGAGATAAGTGGCTCTGGAACCATTCCATCCTCATTTCCAGAGCCATCCCTTTGCTTTGTCTAATGCATGCTTACTCTGAAAAAAATTTAGAAGGCAATTAAAAAACAACAACAACATTCCTGTGATCCCCTCCCCCCCAAAACACCTGAAAGATTGTGTCGTTTTTATGTAATGGGGGATGTCCTTTCCGGTCCCCAACTCCCTGTTTCCTGTCACCCAGAATAATTCACTAAATAAGCAGTGAGAGCTTTTTAGGAGGTTCTACTCTGTGCCAGATATCAAAGCTGGAATGGGTGTGATGAGAGTTCTTGAAGAATAGGACAGAGCCCCTGTCCTGTAAAATATAATGTTTACGATAAAATGTATACAAGTGTTGCAATTCAATATGAAATGTGTTTTAAACAAAGGCCAAATGTGGATATGCTATGGTGGGGACATGAAGGAAGAAATGACTAGCAGCAAGAGGGGCGGGGACAAATTGTTCAAGACAGAACTTGTACCAGAACTTAAATTTTGAGAAGAATTTGCCAAAGACAAGGGAAGGTGATACCAGACAGAGGAAAAACAATGCACCGAATAGAGGCATTTCTATCTCAGGATACTTGAGTATCTACAAGCCCAAGACTTGTGAGAAATGCTTCCTCAGCCAACAGATTCAACCCAGTGGTTGACCAGTTTTCTTAGGGTTTCACATGCAAGTGTTGTTGCTGTTGTTGTTAAGTACTGTCCCATTGGTGCTGACACAGTAACCCTGTATACGGTTTCCAAAGGATGGCTGGTGTGTTTGAACCACCAACCGTGCAAGTCAAGCGCTTATCATACGTAGATACCTCCACACCAGGACAGAAGTACATTTTCCTCAGATGACGCCTGAGTCCCTAGTGTTGCCATAACAAAATACCACAAAGTGCGTGGCTTTAAAAAACAGAAATTTATTGTCTCATAGTTCTGGGGGCTGGGAGTCTTGAAATCAGAGTGCCAGCTGTGTTGATTTTTTTTACTAGCAGCTGTGAGTGTGCAAGGTAGAAGCTGTTCCTTGCACACTCACAGCTGCTAGTAGTCCCCAGCATGTCTGTCTGTATCTTCTCTGTATCTATAAGGACCCCCTATAAGACTAGTACCCACTCTACTCGCATACGCCCTCATGTGAACCTAGCTGATAACCTATCTTCAAAGACCCTACTTCCAAACAAGCTCATGTTCATAAGTACCAGAAGTTAGGACTTCAGCATACCTTTTGGCGGACAGGTACAAGTAAAATCTTAACAAATGGCAGTGAATAAAATTCAATAAAGTTGTTGTTAGGTGCTGTTGAGTCGATTGTGACCCATAGCGACCCTGTATAGGGTTTCCAAGGAGCAGCTGGTAAGCTTGAACCACCGACCTTGCAGTCTGACGCTTTAGCCAACAGCGCTACACCAGTACCCCTAGGCCATAATATTTTTGGGGGTGTGTATGATTTAAATGTTTGTTAGTATGTAGTAGCTAGTAACTCAAAAGAAAAAATAGCTGCACAGCAAAGCCCCCACCACCACCACTCCCCGGCAACATCCAGCTGTCTTTTCAGTGGGCAAAGTAAAGGAGCATTTTGCAGTCGACAGAGTTATTTTTCCATGGTAGGACTATTCTCAAGTGTGTGAAAGCTGAAAACTAAGGTAGTAGCTTACATATATGCCATTGGCAGCTACCATGTCTATTTCAGTCAGTGACTAACCACAATGTTTATTTCTGGAGGCCCAGGGCTGCTGTGCCTATCTCCACATTCCACTCCCATAACGTATGAGCTATGATGTTATGCCAGCAGCCAGTATGAAAAGCTTCATAGCAGGCACTCTTTCATCTGAGCTTTTGTTTATTAAGACGATGTCTAGATTAGACTGGGTATTGGGGAAAAAAAAATGCTTTTACATGTTTAGTAAGAACTTTCAGAATTTGAACTCACTTATCAACTCCATCTCATTTCAGTTAATCACTCGCTTCCACTGAGTCTGCACATTGTGATCATTTAGTGAGAGTGCAGAGGTGGGGAGTGTGAAAGCAAATGGTGGCCCCACTTCCACGATGAGGTCTTTAGGAGGATTTTGTCATTGACTGGAATGGGGGAACAAGAGAGAAGGGAGGCAGGTAGGATGGAAACTGACAGGGCCTATGTCCCCTGAGTCTCATCTTTTCACACCCGCGTTACTTGCAGTAATTGCAGATTAGACTAGAGGGGCCGAGAGAGGGGACCACAGCACAACCAACAGGACAAGTGCCACCAGACACCCAACATCCTGTATTTGCCTTTCTTACTGGTCAGCGATCACCACATAAACCATGGACATACCTGACTACACCTAGGTCCCCGCCATTCCTGACTATTGGTCTTTGTGCTTCATCCACAGAAACTTTCACTATATCACCATTCTCCGAGACCCAGTGTCCCGCTACCTGAGTGAGTGGAGGCATGTCCAGAGAGGAGCAACATGGAAAGCATCCCTGCATGTCTGTGATGGAAGGCCTCCGACCTCTGAGGAACTGCCCAGCTGCTACACTGGTGATGACTGGTCTGGCTGCCCCCTCAAAGAGTTCATGGACTGTCCCTATAATCTAGCCAACAACCGCCAGGTGCGCATGCTTTCTGACCTGACCCTAGTAGGCTGCTACAATCTCTCTGTCATGCCAGAAAAGCAAAGAAATAAGGTTCTCCTGGAAAGTGCCAAATCAAATCTGAAGCACATGGCGTTCTTCGGCCTCACCGAGTTTCAGCGCAAGACCCAGTATCTGTTTGAGAAAACCTTCAACATGAACTTTATTTCGCCATTTACCCAATATAATACCACTAGGGCCTCGAGTGTAGAGATCAATGAGGTAATCCAAAAGCGTATAGAGGGACTGAATTTTCTGGATATGGAATTGTACAGCTATGCAAAAGATCTCTTTTTGCAAAGGTATCAGTTTATGAGGCAGAAGGAGCATCAGGAGGCAAGGCGGAAGCGTCAGGAACAACGCAAATTTCTGAAGGGGAGGTTCCTGCAGACACATTTTCAGAGTCAGGGTCAAAGCCAGAATCAGAGTCAGAATCCAAATCTGAATCTGAATCTCAGTCAAAATCTGACTCAGAATCGGATTCAGAATCTGACTCAGAGCTCGAGTCAGAAGGAGAACCTGAAACAGAGCCCTGGCCAAGAACAGAGCGATAGCAGTAGCAGCAGCAGCAGCAATGGTACCGCTGACTATATGGGCAGTGTAGAGAAATGGCGTTAAGTGACTCAGAAAGAAAGGCTTCATGCATACTTTCCCCAAAGCGCCAGTAAGAATATGGCAAATCTTAAAAGATGAGAGTGTCCAAAACACATCCTGCTTCCTTACTATGGGACGTTAAACAAACAAAAGTTAAGATATTGCCTTTACAGTTGCCTTTCAATCAAATGTTATACTGTGCGTGGGTAAACACATCTCAGTATGTAATAAAATTGTCTCTTTTACGGGGAGGGGGACTTAGGGGGCTATTCGTGAAATCCAAAAAGCCAAATCAGACTCACCAAAAATTGTCGTTTGGATATTTTAAGACAGTCTTAAAATTTTAAATATAACCTCTGAGCTTACAGCTAAGAACTGGACTTTCAATTATTCATGCCCCACTGTTACAACCCAATATTGGGAGCAAACGGTTTTTCCAGAGGCAAGTATGAGCAGGCACATACAATTAATGAAAGGACACAAAGCCTTTCGTTTTCATTGGATTTTTAATGAGGATTCTATGTAAATAGAATACTAGCTGATGGCAAATTTTACCCAACTGTAAAAAACAAAACAAAACTGACAAATTTCTCTCCCAAGTAGGGATGGTCTTAGGTAAAACTATTGATTTTTCAAATATAACAGGACTCATATCTTGTTATTTAAGAGATGTTTAAAATTTTAAACTTTTTCTACCTTCTACTGTTTAAAGGTTTTAAACAGGGTGTATCTCATATTAAACAAAATACTTTTTTAAAAGAATTCCAAATGGAATGCCAATGTTACATCTAATTTCCGGACACTTTCAGGGCACTGTAATTTCAACAATTCTGGTATCTTTTTGGCGCTGCTTCTCATTCATTTTAAGGCTTCTCCAATTTGTGCTCATTCCAAATTAACTCATTGATAGAATCTTTCTTCATCATCTGAATGGTGTGTTGCTGAATTTATTGTGGTATATAATCCTGGATTAAAGTCAGGACTTTCTTTCTATAGAGTTGTCTTATTAATGTTTGTGTAGTGAGGTCTGTATCAAGAAACTCTTAAACAAGATAACATGTCTTAAGAGCTTGCCAAGTTTATTCTTGATCAGATAGATTTGAACCTGAATTTGAACTGTTACTGACTTTTTGTACATCTTTATTGTAATACTTCCAATGAAGAACTACCCATAGTTATTGTTCGTGTTGACAGATTGTAGACAATTACAAGAGCAAAAATGGTAGAATTCACATTAGGATAGGCAGAATTCATCAGTACCACCAAAAAGTGAACCACAGTTTTTTGGAGTAAGCCTTCTACCAGATTTTATGTGATGGAAGGGCAAAGGGAAAGAACAGGGAAATCAGATAGCAGAAGCCTATGAGTTAACAGTGATTTGGTAGTGTAATTCTATGCAAAAAAATACTTTTAAGTTATCAATTCTGAATTGAGACAGGCAAAAAAGAAAAAAAAAAAAGTAGGCTATTGTGTTACCTAGCTTTGTGATTTTGGACAGTTTCCATGTTATAGGTCTTACTACACTTTTGTAAGAAGTTACACACCCTGGCTATCAATCAATCACGGTAAATGCAAGAGGCATTTCTGCTTTCATGAGAGACTTGCTTAGAGATGTGGCTTTGTGTGATTGAGCTTCATCTGTAATAATATGACCACAAGCTGGACAAGAAAGCTGAACATTTAGACTTAAAAGTGAATTTACTTGACTCTGTGCTTGGAGCAGTAAATCTGAATTTGGTTTGATCTGATAGTTTTGCAGCCCTGGGAATGTTGAGAATAGGAAAACTGGAAGGAAATTACAAAACAACACCTTGAAGTCAGAGTGTTTTAGAGTGAAATATTTTGTGTACAGTGTGTTCCTTTAAAAAAAAAAAAGATTTTGTATATCATTATGGTATTTCAATTTTGTTTAGTTTTAATAAAAAATGTCTGTTCATAAAAGAGATAGGTACTGTTGGAAAGCAGGAGGAAGCCCGTGCCAATGGAAATGCTTGATCTGGAAAAAGCATTTTGTATTATTGCTGTGGAGTGCATGGTTTGCAGAGATTCAGTGCATTTTCTCTGTCTATACTGATTATTGTATATAGGGGTTGTTATAAATATACATTTTTGTCATCATTGTGTAAATCCCATGGTTTCAACTGTAAACATCTGTCCAATGGTATAGCTTTACAAATCCTTCACTGATTTTGTGTAATTTAACAATAGATATGAAATAAAGTTTAACTTACAGGCTCTGTGTCATTTCATGATTTCAGGGTTTGCTAGACATTGTGACATCCCAGTCAAGCACAGAAATCTCTTTTTTCAAGTTTTTTTTTTTCTCTTGCCAGCCAGGCATAGAAACGGGATAGTCCATCCTAATCCTTCACAGTATTATTGCTGTGTGTCTTTGGGACCTTACACGACGGAGCAGAACTGTTCTATAGAGTTTCTCAGACTGTCATCTTTATGGGATTGTGTCTTTTATCCCATGGAGCCACTGGTGGGTTCAATCTGCATCCTTTTGTTTCACAGCTGAACATGTGACCATTTCACCACTGATGGTGGTAGTGTGCCTTGGAGTCAGTTCCAACTCATAGCAACCCTGTATAGTGTTTCTGAGGCTGTAAACCTTTACGGGAGCAGAAAGCCTCATCTTTTTCCCATGGAACGACTGGTAGTTTCGAACTACTGACCTTGAGGTTAGCAGCCTGGCTCATAACCACTACCCTACCAGAGCTCCTAAAATGGCCTTGTTGTTTTCTGGTGTTGTCGTGTCGGTTCCTACACATATTGAACCCTGTATACGGTCCCTGAGGCTGTAAATCTTTGCAGGAGCACAAAGCCTCATCTTTCTCCTGTAGAGTGGCTGGTGGGCCTGAGCTGCCAGCCTTGTGGATAGCAGTCCAGTGCTTATCCTCCAGCATCACCAGTGCTCCTTAAAATGCCATTGTTGTTGTGAAGTGACGTCAAGTTGGTTCTGACCCGTAGTGACCCTGCATAGGGTTTCTGAGGAGCGGCTGATGAGCTTGAACCACAAGACTTGTAGACGAGCGCATTAACCCACAGCTCCATACCGGGACTCCAAAATAACATTAGTATTAGGTATTTCCTTCATGGAGTTCATACTTTCTCCTCTTTTGAGTAAATCACAGTTGTCAATGAAAGACAAAATTTGCTATGCAAATGTGTGTTAATTTAAAAGGTACTTACATATCTAGGAATGTGTAGAAAGCCAAAACAGTGTTCTTTTTTTCCTATCCACCCCTTCTTACTCAAAGGGTAGAAGATAAAGAATTAAATTATTGGCTTTTCAAGTCCTTAACACAACTTTTGCTAATAATATTCAATGTACATTTTTTAAGGCACATTCTTCTGGTAATAATTCTGGATGGGGATAACTTGTCCTACTCTTTGCAAAAGTGAATTTAGATTTCAGTTTCAAGGGATCAGAGGGAGGGAAGGCACAACTTAGGGATGGAGGGGTTAGCTATACTCAGCCTTCAGACCATTTTGTACATAAGAGATTTTGCACATCAAGTAGTTATTGAGTAATCAAAAGTCAAAAGTCTTGATCTGAAAAGGTCTTGGGCCTCTTAAGATGAACTGTAGGAAAGAGTGTGGAGGCCTAGAATGTGAAATATTTACCAAATGAAGGTTGTGTTCTTCTCCCTAGAAACCAGTTGCTATAGGGTTGATTCCTATTCACAGTGTGTTAACTGTTTGCATCATCCGGGAACTTCCTCTGTTGCTGTTGAATGCCATTGAGTGGGTTCTGACTCATAAGAAGCACATATGTTGCAGAGCAGAACTGCTCCCATTAGAGTTTTCTTGGTTATAATGATCTTTCTGGGATCAGATCATCAGTTCTTTTCCCCTTAGAGCTAGTGGGTGGATTCCAACTGCCAACTTTTCAGTTATCAGTCAATCAGTTAACTTCGGAGCCACGGGAGCTCCTTTTTCTTTCTCCTTTGTTGTCAGGTGCTGCCAAGTCGGTATCAACTCATAGTGACCCTATACACAACAGAACAAAACATCGCCCTGTCCTGTGGCAACCTCACGATTCTTGTTACACTTGATCCCATTGCTGCTGCCACCATGACAATGATTATTATTATTTTTATTGTGAACTGAGTGATACTTTACATGGGAGAACATCGGCTTGACACCATCGTTTCATTGCAATGGTTACAATCTCCTCTGTGCATCATCACTCAACAGTATTTGCTTCCATTCCCTCTGTTTTTGTATGTTTGTTTGTTTTTGTTTTGGGGGGGAGTGGAGAGAGGGGGATGTACACAAAAACACTCAGGAATATATAATCATTTAAATAACCAAAGGGCACATTCTGCAAGCCTGTCTCCTCATGCCAATTATTTTTGTTGGGGTCTCCCTCTTTTTCTCTGACCCTCCACCCTACCAAACATGATATCCTTCTCCAGCGATTGGTCCCTTCTGACAATATGTCTGAAGTATGAGAGACAAAGTCTGGTCATCCTGGCTTCCAAGGAACACTTTGGCTCTAATTCTTCCAGCACAGATCTGTTTGTTCTTTTGGCAGCCCCATGGTACTTTCAGTATTCTCCTCCAACACCATAACTCAAATTAATCAATTCTTCTATGGTCTTCCTTATTCACTGTCCAGCTTTCACATGCATTATGAGGTTATTGAAAATACCATGGCTTGGGTCAGGCGCACCTTAGTCCTCAAGCTGACATCTTTGCTCTTCAACACTTTAAGGAGGTCTTTTGCAGGATATTTGCTTAGTGTTTTCATTTCTTGACTGCTGCTGCCTTGAATGTCCACTGTGGAGTATGCAAGTAGGAGAGAGGATATTATTATTATTAGTGAATAGGGCATTCCCGCTGAAGTGGGGAAAAAGGAGATAACCTGCACTTTGCTTCAGGACACAATATCATGGCTGGCTGCTAAGGAAATAGACTGTTGAGGTATCTCAGAGAAGAGCTGCAATGAAGAAATAATCAATTTGTCCAGTTCCAGGACTTGAATAGGATTCTCAACAGGAGTTAGAACCAAGTTAGAGCTGGGCTACCTTTGGTGGTGGAGGCAGTTCCGACTCACAGTAACCCTATACACAGCAGAACAAAACACTGCCCAGTCCTGGGCCAACCTCACAATCATTGCTACTCCTGAGCTCATTGCTTCCGCCACTGTGGCAGTCCACCTCCTTGAGATTATTCCTCTTTTTTGCTGACTCTCCATTTCACCAAACAGGATATCCTTCTCCAAGGACTGGTCCCTTATCAGAGACGAAGTCTGACCATTCTGGTTTCCAAGGAGCATTCTGGCTGTACT